AAGAAGAGGGGGGCGGGGGTAAGGTGACGGGGTAGCTTCTGATGTGACGGGGTAGCTTCTGATGTGAAGGAGGCTTCTGATGTGACGGGGTAGCTTCTGATGTGAAGGGGGCTTCCGATGTGAAGGAGGCTTCTGATGTGATGGGGGCTTCCGATGTGAAGGGGTAGCTTCTGATGTGAAGGGTTAGCTTCTGATGTGTAGGGGGCTTCAGATGTGAAGGGGTAGCTTCTTATGTGAAGGAGGCTTCTGATGTGAAGAGGGGTTCTGATGTGAAGGGGTAGCTTTTGATGTGAAGGAGGCTTCTGATGTGAAGGGGGGTTTTGATGTGAAGGGGTAGCTTCTGATGTGAAGGGGTAGCTTCTGATGTGTAGGGGGCTTCAGATGTGAAGGGGTAGCTTCTTATGTGAAGGAGGCTTCTGATGTGAAGAGGGGTTCTGATGTGAAGGGGTAGCTTTTGATGTGAAGGAGGCTTCTGATGTGAAGGGGGGTTTTGATGTGAAGGGGTAGCTTCTGATGTGAAGGAGGCTTCTGATGTGAAGGAGGCGCTTCTGGTGTGAAGGGGGGTTCTGATGTGAAGGGGTAGCTTCTGATATAAAGGAGGCTTCTAAGATAAAAAGGGGATGTTTGATGTGAAGGGAACTTCTGATTTGAAGGGGTGCCATGACCAAAAAACATTTGAGAAACGCTGGTCTAGAGTTAGTTTTTTGGCTCTTCAGAGATCCCTACGGACTTAAATGTCGCTCTGCCTTTTGAGATCCAAACGCAGTACATGAAAATCAAACCTGGCACTCAACACAAATCACTAGAATTAAAAGAAGAACTGTAAGAAGAACCCGTCTACCCTAACCATAGAAAGTAAGGGTAGACGGCTTAAAAAGCCAAAGTCTTGCCCAAGACCTGACAGCACATGTTGCCTACTGTTACCTTTTCTTCCATCCAGAAAACCCTCCTGTGTGTCTCTCACATCATTACTGCGGGTTTGATTTTCCCTGATTTTATGTCTAAGATCCATCAATTGCATTTCCTCTGCTCAATGAGAATTCTCTTATTGCCACATGAGGTACACTGGATAGGGGGAGACCAGCTGGAAGACTTAGCCGTGAACCCAAACTACTAGCTGGTATTTTTGGTATGCAGAAAAAAAATAAAAATGGCTAATAGGTTCACTTTAAGGTTTGTACCTGTCTAGTTCCTTTCTGTAGTCTAGGAACTATAACAATTTCTGTTTAGGAAATATCCCCCTTGCAGCCACAATAGCTGTGACATTTCATGCTCAGTTTTGTAGCTGATGTGAGGGAGATCTAAACCTGAGCATCCTACATAAGCTTACATCAGGCCACAAATAGCGCAACCCTTCCGAGCTGCTGGAATGCCAGTTAAGACTTGATGCCCCAGATCTTCAGCTCAGACAGTAGGCACTAGAATAATGGGAATGGCACTTTAAAGTAGATGGCAAGGCTAACTGTATGGTATAGATAGCACTACAGAGCTATTCATGAATTTTGCAAAAATCTGCAGCTGAGTGCCTTTTTTTCATATACATTTCTTGTGGTCATGTGGGTGCTCAGTTCTTACTCCTTCCTTGTGCTGGCAGTGGGCAGGGACTTGCTGCCCATACATGTTACAACAGGATGGAAAGAGCTGTAAGTGCTGTGCGGAGAAGGTGACAACACTGCTGCAGTTTCTGGTGCTGCAGCGTTGTCAGCTGCTCACAGGACAAGTGATCATATTGAACCAACTGGTAAGATCAACAGGTAGAAACTATGGGACATAAAGGTAGGTAAACACTGAGTATATGAATGTGCACATAGAGGATTTACATACTTTGAGGAGCAGTTTTCAGAGGACTTTATTTAAATATTAATAAAGAATACAATATTTTCTATATAAATATGCACTTTAGATATAAATATTTTCAACTGGAGCACCATGTATAGAGGTTAGAGATGTAAAAAATGCAATTGTAAATTCCTCACATTTGTTACATAAAGAAGCATAGAATTGGTATGACGTGCGCCCTGCGTGTACATTTTCCACTGCATACGTTGCCCAAGCCTGTAAAAGAACTTGGGGCTATATTGTGGTCATGTGACCTGCAGCCTTTTTCATCACTGGGTTTTAAGACTTAAAGGAGAACTATGAGGTGAGTGAATTCCACTCATCCTCATAGTTAGAGCCAACCGGTGACAAGGAAGCTGTCACAGGTCGGCTCTATTGATCGGGAAGTGAGCAAAAACATGTAGCCGATCCGCTCACTTCCCGATCGTCTCCCTTCAGTGAGCGGTGACTGTCAGTCACTGCTCCCCGCAGGGATTCCCCCACTCCCCTCTCCAATCCTCCAGCACTGAGTGGAGGAACGAATCGGGAAGGGGGCAGACACAGCTGGCCCTGCCTTTAGATAGGCAGAGCCCACTGTCACTCACGCTGCTGGGTGGATCCAGACATTATTGTTGGGATCTGTCCCGCTGTGGCACTCCCAGTATATTGCACTTTGGATCACAAGAGGAGGTTAGTATATGTCCTCCTGTGACCCTAAAGAGAACTATGGGTAAAAAATCTTACATCATAGTTCTCTTTTAAGTATTCATTTTTAACAACAGTAACTCATAACAACCAACCAGAACCCACCTTCAACCCGTCTGATTTCTTGTTGGTTGCCTTGGGTTACTGCATTAATGAATAAAGCCTTTGGTCTTGGTGTTCATTCTGCTCCACAGGCCAATGTACATTAACATACCACATGATGACACTGCAATGACAAGATGTCTTCCCCTTACCTGTAACCAGACTGGACACAATGAGGGGCAGGACCAGCATCTGCAGCATTCTCATCAGCAACTCCCCGGGGAAGGAGAAATACTTGACCTCCCGGTAGGTCATGTGATATGACCTGACAGAAAACCCAAGGATGATACCTGGAGGAAAGGACAAGAACAATCATGCTAAAGAAATCAGTGGTTACATCACAATGTAATATCTGGGCTTTGAACCCAAAGAGGAATCAGTGTTGTACTTTCTGATGTGGGATTTAAATTTTAGGATTTGTGACAGTGGTGGTCTGACCCATATTATCCCTCGCAGTTCTGTATTTTCCAGCTGCTGCAAAATAACAGTTTACAGTACAGTTACCGGGTTATTAATCCATTTTATTTTTACAAAAAGGAAGCCTAGCTTACATTGTCCCAGTGTTAATTTCGACTAATAATTTTGGTCTTAGTTTTCATCAAAAACACTTTTTCAGTGACTATAACTAGACTAAAACTAAATAAAATCTAAAACTATAAGGAAAATATATTGACGTTTTAGTCAACTAACTCAAACTAGACTAAAATGTTAGGGAGAGATGATTTGGGAAAAGATTCAATCAGAACTAATCTCTTTGGACTAGGGCTGCAACAACTAATCGACTAAATCGATAATAATAGTTGGCAACTATTCTCATCATCGATTAGTTGGTTGGGGAAGGAGAAAGAGAGCGTGTTTTTTTAATACAACCAATCGATTGATTGAAAACATAATCGGACAGGTCTTCTCGTCCTATTTCAGTACCTTGCACCTGTTCTTTTGGCTGAATGATCACAGAGGCTCTCAGACACACTCCAAAGTTCTGTGGAAAGCCTTCCCGGATGAGTGGGGGCTGTTATAGCCTTAAAGAAGGTGTGGAGGGCAACTCTATATTAATGCCCATGGTTTTGGAATGAGATGACCAACAACCTTATACGGTGTGCTGGTCAGGCGTCCACACACTTTGGCCCTGTAGTTTTAATGCATGCACCTTGGCTTTGCCAAGTCATTGTAGAGGTCCTTTCTATTAGGGAACTAATCAGGGCACATCTTTTAACAATTAAAGAGAGCAGTTACTTAAAAGCAGCACATAAAGCCTTGATAAATGTAAGCATTAAAAAGGGGTGCTATGAGCGCTCCCCAGATGCCTACAGTGAAACCAGGAACAAAGCTCATCATGAGGTTACCACAGTCCTAAAGAAAGATTCCAAAAACAGTTGATTTTACCGGAAATTTTGGCTTCCTGCAAATTCAGTTTTCAAGTCTTATGGCTGATAAAAATGTTATGCAAATACTATCAAAACATTATAATACTACACTAAACTATAATCTGACCCCATCACAATATACCAAAATACTTTTCTGCATTTAGTAAGCGTACGCTATTGAAACATTATAAACTGCATGGACAGAAATACCAGGTAAAACAACTCTTGTACTGTATACATATTTGGCTGCCTTTCCTCCTCCTGTCCTCATAGTTTCCCCATATTTTCTCCCAAAGATTTCAGGGAAGACCTGGCCCATATAGCTGTAGAAATGTATGTTTAGGACTGCAAAAGGTCAAACAGGCATTTTTATTTTTTTATTTTTACAAACAGATACACTTATTCTATTACTTTTATAAATGATTATTCTATCATTTATAATCATTTATAAATGACGATATCTCCAAGCATAACCATATAGTTAATACTCAAATACATCAGCTGTTTTATCTTCCAATGGATTTTTAATTGTGTTCAGCAAATCTTCTGATCTGGCCAGACAGCATATTTAGGTCAGGGACCTAACATTTCTCTGCTTAGACTTAGCAATACAGATTGGACTCCTCTCTGTTCCCAGCCTGTGACTGGGCAATATAGGTGCAGCAGAAGACTGATAAGGTCATCACTCTCTTCATTCCTTCTGCAATCATAGGGGCCAAAGTAATGCCTAGTTTATAAACCCTGCAGACTTGCATAATCTGTGACGGTAATGGCAGACTATCTCTAATCTCTTTCTTTTGTGTCATTGAGAATTACTTTTCATGTTTATTTCTCATTCAGAAATTCTCTGTGTTAAAGTAACAAACCAAAGTAACAAAAATGAAAGGAATAAAATAATTTTCCAAGGATCTCCACCTGTTAAATGCCTGAGTATAATAGATGGATATAGTGGGATTAGGCTGCTGAGCAGAGGTGCTGAGCCTTGTTCTTCTTGGGTGGCCTCAATACATGGTGTTGTAATAGAGAAGCTAACTAATTTGTTCAGGGTTTCTTGATCATTGCAGATGACTAACAACAGTTGAATGCAAGGCAAGTCTGTGTGTGTTACAAGGTGGCCAAATTGTACAACCCACTGCTATAAGGTAGAATTACAGCTTATATATACATATATGTGTTATAGGCAGGCGCGGCGCTACCGCAAGGCAAGTCAGGTGGCCGCCTGAGGGCGCTGCAGGGTGAGGGCGATTATAGGGATGCACAGATACCAGTTCAGATACCAGTGCAGATACTTGGCATTTTCAACTACCAGGGTTGCAGCGGTTGCAGCTGTGACAGTGCCCTGGTGCTCCACCACTGTCCTGAAATCATTAGTCTGTAATGTTTTAGAAAAACTGTCACATGACTATATAAAAAAAAAAGGGTTTCAGTAATTGGTATCTGTGAGTATTTGGACAAGTATCAGTACTTATACTTGGTCTGTAAAAAATGGTGCATCCCTAATATACACTGAGTGGCCAGATTATTATGACCACCTGACGTTTGTAGGCAAATTAGCTATAATTTAGGGCTGTTGAAATTAACGATTAATTTCTCGATTAATCGTTAAACTTTTGATGAGAAACTCTGAGATGATGTCCCTGCTAATGTAATCACAGGAAGTCCCGCTTTCAGTGTCTGAGGGATGTTATTTGATGGGGTTACAATGTACCTCTCATCGCAGCCCTCTTTTGGTGCATGGAGAACAATTTCTTTTCTTTCTCACCTTCCCTGGTGGTCTATGTGTGATCTGAGCGCCATAGTAGAGGCTCTCGTTCCTTGCTGTTAGGGCTGCTTCCGAAATGGCGCCGGTATTGTATTATTCTACAGCGCATGTCTGCAGACATTAACGCATGCGGGTATATAAATGTATATATGATCCCTTGCAGGGCCAAGGGGCTCCTTTAATACTATGTAGTAGCTGCAGCAACTACACTACAATACAGCATCTTCTGGGTTCCTGCTACAGCCGCTAGGATGAGCGACTTCCCTGTGCTGTAAGAGTTGCTCACTGATCATGGCGACATTTCAGAGGATGCCTAGTATTTTTCTCAAAGAATACTAGGCATTCCCTCATTGGGCGAGTCGCAGCGATGTCACGGCTATCTTCTTTAAATCCTAATATACCACCTTCACATAAAACATAACAACAAAAGAACCATGAAGAAAAGTACTCACCAAACACAACAGCAAAGACGGTAAAAAGCACAAAGCCATTCCGTCGTAGGAAGCCCTTGACGTCATCCTTTGTTATGTTTTGCATCCTCTTCTTGGCCATCAGAGAGCGTTGGCGCACACCTTGCTGGAAGCGCTCCATCCTGTTCCCAGCTCTTGGGTCTTCCCCGTTGCTTTTAGTCATCTGTGCCAAGTAAAGATGCCTCTACTCTCAGTCTAACGGCAACAGCAACTTCCAGTGGGCGATCAAACACGGCAGGTCAGCCGCGGCCGAACTGTAACATAAGATGTGAATAACCCATTATGAAAATCCAAAGAAGAATTAACTTGTTTCAATTTACTGGGGATGACTACTGATAGTGCCCCCTTATTGTATTCATAGAGGAAACATTAAACAGGTCATGTTCAATAAAGAATTATACTACAATGCATTATAAGAAAATAAGAAAACTTTCAAAAATGAGGCAGAATTGTAGTAAACTAGTCTATAGAAAACGTTTTTCTTAAAGTTGAACTCCACAAATAGCCACAAAGAGTATAAATTAGGGATGCACCAATAGCGTTTTTTCGGTATCAAGTACGAGTACTGAAAAAAAAATTTCCGGTACTCGCCGATACCGAATACTGATACCGGAAGTCCCATGAAGCCGGAAGCTGGGCGCTGTGTAATGACTTAGCTGGGAAGTCGTCTCCATGCTCCCATGTCACCAAGTTACGAGGGAGCATGGAGCCAGCTTCCGGACCAATCAGGAAGCCGGGGGATGAGCCATTACCCATCTCCTGGCTTCCTGATTGATGAGGGAGCATGGAGCCGGCTTCCTAGCCAATCAGGAAGTGGGGCAGGGTGTAATGACTCACTGCTCGGCTTTCTGATACCAGAGCTTTCGGTATCAGGATAAGTATCAGAGCATTTGGGTGAGTACGAGTAAAAGCCCTGGTACTCGGTATCACCACCAATACCGATATTAGTATCAATATTGGTGCGTCCCAAGTTATTACCAGATAGCAGGGCTAGCCAAACCTCGACCCTTCAGGTGTTGTGAAACTACAAGTCCCATTGCAAGACTCTGACAGCCACAGGTATGACTTCTAGAGGCTGACATTTTAGAGAAAAGCAATGGCCACCTCAATTTTTTCTCAGCACAGGATTTGCCTGAAGGAAAACAAAAGTGGACCTGTACCTGTGTTTCTTTAGCAATTGCAACATTTATTTCAATGTGTTTTTTTTTTTTTTTGCAAGTTTATTTTGGTTTTAATGAAACAGTTTGAGCATGTTCGACCACCCCTTAAGTAAGAGTTGGTAGGTTTTTCAATGTGTTTTTAAGTGAAACTTGTACATTTACCTGTTCCATTTTTTAACAATCATATTTGTATGTGATGATTTGTAGTTCTTCCATTAGGTAACACCCTTTACATTTAGGAAGGTGGTCGCCATCCCTAATACAGGACCGCTTAGATGTGATCAGTTAATCACAAAGAGAATCTGGCTGAGATATGGGCTATTTGTAACAATAAAGGAAAGAAAAGGGGAAGAAAAGACGACAGGGACCAATCACGTTTCATCTTTAACTCTGCAAGAATCAAATAAGAAACCTGACTGGTCACTGTCGGCTACAACTCAGATTTTGTTCCCATTTTCTGCTATCCAGTGCTTTATAAATAGCCCCAGAACAAAAGACGAGCACTTCAGTGCAGCACTACAAGTCAGGAAGCAGAGCCAGCATATATATTGAGCATATATGTCTGCTCCCCTCTGCAGAAATATTTACAAACTAGACATAGAAGCAAGTATTTTTGTTTTTTTAACAGTAACTTATGCAGAATTTACTGTAAAGTGAACCTGTAGCCAGGCTATGGATTTTTAAGTATATTAGTCTGTCAGCAGTAACTGAGCTTTTAAACAAGCCTTCATTGACCATTGTAGCTGCAGGCATTGTGGTGCAATTAATCTTCAAAGATTACAACAGAATCACCTGAAGTAGAACTGAAGCCAAAAGGTTTTTGTAGTTTTAGATAGTGTAAGGGAGGGTTATAAGGCCTGTCAGCTGTTTCTTTTGTGCCATCTGTGTCCCATTGTGGAGAATTCCTTTCACTTCCTGTCCAATAGTGACAACAGGAAATTAAAGGAAATCCCTCCAAAGTGAGGGAAATCCACAGTGGTCAGCAGGGTCATCAGAAATAATGTACCCATTCGAAGATTTCACCACTTTTCCTGTTCTGATGAGAACCCAAAATTTCACAATTTGTGATAACAGTCACCAGGAAAAATAGAGAGGGTGACTTTCCCTAACGGGGACACAAACAGCAGTAAAACAGGTGTTCTCTGTCATCTCCACTCTATCCAAAACTAGAAAAATAGGTTTGGGCTTGAGTTGCACTTTAAAATGATATTAAAGTCAAAATGTTTTTAATCCATTTCAGATGCTGATGAAATCACTTACAATGGATGCTGCTTCTTGTTGTTTAAGAGTTTTAGCTTCCTACAGAATCAGTTGGTCCTCTAAGCACTGGCCCTGATATCCTGTTTTAGGGTGGTTCCTTTCCTCTGCAGGGTCCTATGGAGCCACCCTTGTGTGTGTTAGTAGGCTGTATGTGTCTCCACAAAGAGACCCAACAGGGCAAACCACTCCCCTCCACCCTGCTCCCCTCTCCTTCCTCCCTCCTCTAAGCTAGTAATAGACGGATAGCTGCTCAGTCTCTTGTGATCTTGTACTGGACAGGAAGTTTAGTGAAGCCGAGCTGAGAGAGTTAGAGATGTTCGGAAATTGAAAGTTTGAGAGTTTAATACTACTTTAAGTCCTTTGAGTGGTTCTTTTAGCACCTCATCCTGTTCCCCCCTCCCAGCAGTGACTGAGCAGCTTCCTAATAAAAACACAGAGCAGGAACTTCCAGTGGAGGGAGCGAGGCTGTTGAAAGAAGGACTTTAACAACCTTGGTGCTTTGTTGCTGCTATGAAAATTGGGGATGAATTGCTCCACAGTTTCTGCATTTACAGAGGTCAGTGAGCGCTTGTTTTAAAGCTAATTTGCTGTTTGTTAAGACTATGTAAATACTTGAAAATCCATTTATGTGTACAATATAAAGAAGCTTACAAAAAACATAAAAGGTATGTCCACAGCAAAATAGTCCAATTTGATCAAATAAATCATTTCCCCTGAATCTGAACGTCAATGAGTTTATGTTGGATAATTATCTACTGAGGACAACTGAGGAGGAAAGAGAGACAACGGATAAGGAAAGAGGGACAACTAAGGAGGAAGGAGAGACAACGGAGGAGGAAATAGGGACAACGGAGGAGGAAAGATGGACAACAACGGAGGAGGAAAGATGGACAACAACAGAGGAGGAAAGAGGGACAACAACGGAGGAGGAAAGAGGGACAACAACTAGAGGAGGAAAGATGGACAACAACGGAGGAGGAAAGAGGGACAACGGAGGAGGAAAGAGGGACAACGGAGGAGGAAAGATGGACAACAACGGAGGAGGAAAGATGGACAACAACAGAGGAGGAAAGAGGGACAACAACGGAGGAGGAAAGAGGGACAACAACGGAGAAGGAAAGAGGGACAACAACGATGGAGAAAAGAGGGACAACGGAGGAGGAAAGAGGGACAACGGAGGAGGAAAGAGGGACAACAACTAGGAGGAGGAAAGATGGACAACAACGGAGGAGGAAAGAGGGACAACGGAGGAGGAAAGAGGGGCAGCAACGGAGGAGGACAGAGGGAAAACGGAGGAGGAAAGAGAGACAGAAGTATTTGGTTCTAAGTGAAGGACAGTTCGGAGGTATGGTATCGGACCTACAGTATTACACATCAATTATCCACCAACCATGAAAATCATTTTGTGTAATGTGTGTGTTTTAAATTGAAAAGAGATGGGATCATTTATTACAACCCTAAAGCTGGCCACAAAGGCTACAATATTATTGTAAAGTCAAAATAACAAAAAACTAAGAACTGCATGGGCCAGCGCTCTCTCTCTTTCTCTCTCTCTCTTTTTTTCCCCTGGTATACAAAGCAACAGGTTCATGTGACTGCCGCTGCAAATACCTTCCTGCCACTCCATTCACACTGGGAGCGAAGTCTCTCTCTCTTTCATTTACAATCTACACTTTCACTGAATAGTACAGTACAGCTTTCTTTAGTCACTGGTGTCCTGACATAAGAGATCCGGCCCTTCTACACAGTGGCCACACTGCCTGCCCCTCCGCTCCTCTTTCCATTCACAGAAGGCCTTGGATTTTGTTAATAGGTTCACAATATACAAAGTGCTCTCTGATTGGGCAACAGTACAAGAGGGGCGGGCACTGCGGCTGCTGTGTAGGAAAGCCGAAGGTCTAATGTCAGAGTGCTGGAAGCTGTTCTATCGGCACTTAATAAAACTGTACATTGCAAATAAAATAGAGAGCTCTAGGGGGTGGCATACACATTGGTGTGCTTAATTCTTTATAGCCAAGCAGATTTTGTAATACTTTTGTGGAGTTCTTCTTTAAATACTTGCCACTTCTGTTTATGGTGAACACGTGTCCCACTCTCCTTCCTCCTATGTGTATGCATTAGGTGGGACCAATCGCCAATCACACCAGTGCTGTTCAGTGGGGGCAGTGAGAGAGCACCGATCCCGACGGAAGCAAAGGAAAAGTGAGTGTAGGCAGCCGGGGAAGGTGGCGGCTAAAGTGAAAAATCACTAGTAGGTGAAGAGACATACAAAATGCTTTCCATTTTCTTATTTTATAACAGTATGCATGTGCAATGCAGAGTATGCTAGGCAGAGCAAAGAGTGAAGCCCAGTGCCAGCATGGCGCAACTTCATCACCCATGTACAGGAGTTCATCATCACTGGCTACCTAATGGACAATAAAGACAGTGGAAGTTGAAGTAGCACCCCCCTTCTTAAGAGAACCTGTTGCTCTGAGCTATATGGAGAAAAAAAACAGGTAATGCACCTATATGAAAATCCAATGATAGTTCGATCTGAATGAAAAGCATTAGCCTCTCATCCAATAGAAACCTTTGCACTGTCTACTATGTTCCTGTTACTGATACAACCTATGTAATTTTTCTTTTTGGTGTAAAACAATCAGATATATATCTAAATCTGAACTCTGGCCACAACTTTCATTTAAAGCTGAACTTCAGCTGTAAAGATTCATATACACTTACCATGGTCCTGCTTGGCACAATGTAAGTATATATAAATGAAATCCTGCCAGGGCCCCGGGGATCCTGTAAAATACTGTAACAGTTACTGCAGTTCTTTCCAGCAACCTTCG